TGCAGTTCTTGAATCTGAAGGGGCAATGAAATTGTCAGCGTTGATCAGGGCCTCCAGGGACTGACGGAGCTGCGAGAACTTTTGCTTGATAATAACAAACTGCGGGGTTTTGGACGGGACTGTTTTGCGTGCAATTTGCAGCTGACAGACATCTCCGCGGAGGAAAATTACATTCGCTCGACGGAGGGTCTTCAGCCGCTGACCCGCCTTGAGGTGCTTCGACTGGGCTCCAACCGACTCAGCGATTTGCGGCTGCTCCTTAACGACCTCCGTAACGCCTCATGTCTTGTCAACGTGACGCTCGTTGGAAATGCCGTGGCACGCAAATCGCCCTACCGCTCGCAGACAATTGCTGCGCTGCCGGCTTTGATGACACTCGATGACAAGGAGGTCACGGAGGAGGAGCGTGACAAGGCGGAGCTGTCGAGGATGACAGAATTTTCAACGCCGCACAATGTTGTCTTTGATCCATCCTTTCCTCTAGACGCGGTCGGTGGGATGCGGCTGAGCGGAGCTGCCGTCCAGCCCCGCGTCCTGTCGCAGCAGCCACCACCACGATTCCCCGCCAACAACACCCCACGCCTGCAGTTGCCTTCATACAAGAACCTTAGGCCCATGCCACAGATGCGGGACGGCATTCAAAAAGGCGTTGTTCCTCGTATGTAAGGCGGTCAACGATTATGTAAATTTATGTCCTTCTCTCCCCCGCCACCGAATCCTTTTTTTTTTTTTTTCCTCTCTCCTTTTGTTTCCCTCTCTCTTTGCCTCTCTTTTGCCCCTGTTCATGCATGACAGAGAAGAAGAGGTGGGGGGATAAGAAAAAAACGAAAAAACATTATACTTGAAATTCGAAAGAAGAGAGTACAACCGTTCGACTCCGGGAAACGAATCAAGAAGGCCTGGCGTGGTTGTGAAAATTTTTGGAGGGTGTGTTGGCACGACCAACGTCACAAGTGGAGTTCATTCCAGCAGTGGAAACGAGACCTAGAGAGAGGAAGAAAAAGAAAAGAAGGAATAGTGGCGGTGGAGTTCCGCCAATAAAAATGGGGACATGTGTGGAATTTAAATTGTCCTTGTAGTTATCATGTATCGTGTAATGTATGTATGTATTTTTATTTATTGATTTGTGGATATGTGTCTTTCTCCTTTTTTCTTTTTTTTCTTTTTTTTTTTTTCTTATTGCCTCCACGACCGCCAGGACCCCCGACGAGTCCCTATCATCTGCGCACAGAAACTCACTGGAGGGGCAAATTCCACTTTAAAAAGGTCCTCAAGAAGAAAGAAAGAAAAAAAACTTTACTGAAATTGGTTGCAATACATTTGTGTACATAAACGCACCTAAATCTTTATTTTGGTGTGTGTGTGTGGGCGGGGAGTGGGGAAAGGAGGGTTTGGACGTGGCGTGTGTATTTTCCCCCGTTCCTTTTTTTTTTGTCGGCGATGGACAAAACAAAGACGCTGGAGATGCTCAGTGGCATGAAATTCATGCAGCGGAAAGAGGAGACAAAACGTCGTCAACGCCTTGAGATAGACCAACAAAAACAGTTGGAGGAGCAAATGCAGGCAAAATCTGGCGCCCGTCATGGTACGAGTGGGATGTCTATTGGCTCCGCCTCACCCTTCACAAGGAAAAAAGCCACCGCAACTATTCTCTACGACAGCGGCTTCCCGCGGGAGTCTTACAGCCTTGCCCGGCGCTCCTTTCTACGCAAGGTCAGTAGTACTAGTGTCAGCACTAATGTTGCTGAGGACACTGCTGTAGGCCCAAGCGGTGGTGGTGGTGAGTGTGTAGAGGATGCAAAGTGTGCAGGCAACGAAAATTTTGAAGAGGAGCCTCATCGTGGCGACACGGAAGATGTGCATAGCGCTGGAAGTGAGGACGAGGATGATGCGACGATGTATGACCCAACAGCAGTCGGTGGCAACAGTAGCGGCAAGCGTTTCTGCGTCAAGCTGCGGGCGCCGGCGTTGCCAAAAGGGCTGGAGAAGCAAGTGGTCGCTGAGGAAAGAAAGAAGCGGCGGCGGCAGGAAGAATGAAGAGGCGATGGTCGGGATGCATTCTGATGCGTCACTTATGCCAGGAAAAAAAAAAAGAAAAAACAGAATAAACAAAGAGGTAAAAATGTCCCCAAACGACAGAAATGGAATGACGGCGTTAAAATGTAATTCGTGACTGCACGTTTAGTTGCAACAGCAAACCATCCCCCCATGCACACTGCAGTGCAATGGATCGGTATATATATTATGAATTGTTGTTGTTTTGCCTTTCTTTCTTAGTGTTTATTGCTGTTGTTTTGTATTTTCCCTGTGTTTTTTTTTTTTTTTTTTTTTTTGTGTGTGTAATCTTTTGACGGGGAGGCACAGCAATTTGCGGGCGTCATCCTCCATGTCGGAACAACAACAGCCGAAGCAGCGCACCGCCGTTTCTGTGACTGCCGCCAGCAAGGCAGAGGTGACGGTGGAGGAAAACTTTGCCGCGATGCGCCACGCCGCGATGTCGATGTTCAAGCAGCGCACAAAGGACCTCACAATGGTGTCTGCACTGACCGCTGAGGCGGAAGTAGTGGAGAAGCTTAACTGCCAGGTGCAGTCGACCATCAACAGTCTGCAGGAGCAGAAGGCAATTCTGGAGGCGAGGATTGAAGCGGAGGAGCGCCGCGTGAAGGAACGTGAGGAGCAGCTGCGAGGGGTCCACACAATGCTCGCCCAAATGAAGGAGGATCAGGGCGTTTTCTCTGGCGTACGGCGTTCCTCTGAGAAGATTGCCATGACACTCCATCAGTTTGTAACGCAGTACACAGCAAAGGGTGGTAACGTTGTGCATCTTCTGGAACGGTGCCATGAACGGACTCATGGACGGGCACCGAATGAGTGGCGGACGGCAACGAATGACCTTCGAAGGCGTCAATCTGTTCTGGAGGAGCATATCAAACACATTGAGACACATCAGACAATTCCTTGCGGCTTTGCAGATATTTTGCTGGAGTGGTCTCGTGGGGTGTGGAGGCAGCAACACGAGTGTGCGACGGCACTACATGTGTGTGAGCAGCTGCTCTCTCATGATGCCTTGGGCGCTATTCGCGGACTACTACCGCCACCCACACTTGTTTACGGCCACGATAGTTTGGATGAGGATTGTGACATTTATGCGGATGCATGCATGCGTGAGACTGACAATCTTGTCGGTGTGGGAAAGACCATTGAGGGCGAAGGTGAAAATGTGGGTCTTTGCTGCGCTGTTGTTCCAAGCGAGCGAGTGGAGATGGCGCGGTCACGCTGGACATCCGTTCATCGCTTACGACTCTCCTTGCGAGAAGTTGTCGCGGCATCATGTGACCTTTCCAAAGAATTGGAAGAGCAGCTCATGTTGGTAAAGCTCCTCTCAGATCGTGTTGTTGTCTTGGATGCACAGATTGAAGATGCTCAGTCCAACCTGCAACAGGATTCTATCACAATACAGAGAGAAAAGGAAATGCATGAAAATTTGTTTTCCTCCTGGCAAAAGGCATTACAAACGTCAATTGTACACATGCAGTGCGAGGCCACATGCCGTTCTGCAGTGGAGAGCAAGGAGGCCGATATGGCGAGGCAAGAGGTTGAGCTGGAGGCCAAAACGGCGGAGATGGAGGCGCAGTGGACGACTCTTCACACGCAAGCGATGCAACTTTACACCACGCTTTTGGTTGAGGAGCAGCAAAGAGCGGAAGCCCTGTGCCACCTAACCTCCGCCACGGATGAGCAAAGAACACAAGAAACGCGACTAGTTGCTCTTCACGAGGTCTGTGAGAAGTTCGAGGGTGCGGTGCGGCAGGAGTGTGACGAGATGGATCGGTGTGCCCTCGCCATTTTGAATCATGCCTCCCATGGGATGGGGGCGGGGGCGGCAGGACAGGACAACGGGAGGGACGAAAACAACGAGGCGGTGGAGGAGGAAGATTCCACTCGAGCCTCTGCAATAAACGACTTTCTTGAGCAACTCTTGCAGTGCCAAAGGGAGGAGGAGAAGGAGGAGGCGCAGCGGGAGAGCGTTGCGTTGAGTTCTTTGATGGCATCAACGGGACTGGACGCGGAATTGTTGCAGCGCGCAGCCGATTCACTTGCCAGCCTCCAGCAGGGGGTGGATCGTGAAATGGGGATCCACCTCCAGTGGAGACAAGAGACAGAAAAAGAGCTGCTCGCCTTGGCAGTCGAGTGAACCCATTTTTTTTTTTTTTTTTTTTTGTTTTTGTTTTTGTTGTTTTTGCTTGTTTTTATTTGTTTTGTGGCCCCATTAATTATCCCCCTCTATTTTTGGTCTTTTCCATGCATTTGTTCTGGTTGGGCTTGTGCCTTTTCACAGTGGTCCTGCCATGCGATCCTCACACGCACCACGACGACAGACGGTGTCATGTACAGACACACACTGGCACGGCCACAGCCGTCGCCCAGCAGAGATGTCTGCCTTCTCCCTTTTTTTTTTTTTTTGTTTTGTTTTGTTTTGTTTTGTTTTTTTCCTTTTTTACGATTTCTCCCACTTTCTGTGCGTGTGTCCATGTAAGCGATGGTGTTGATTGTTTTCCTTTTTTGTTGTTTTTGTTGTTTATTTGTTGTTGTTTTTGTTTTTTCTCGTTTTGTGGTTTTTGCGCGTCACTGCCATGAGTGTACATCACAGTTTGTGTAGCACCACGACACGTACGCATCGCAGAGGACATTGAAGTTAGGAGCGTCCCCCTCACAGAAACAAGTAAAAAAAAAAAAAAAAGGAAATGAACCGACTCCAAAACTTTTTAACAGCGCGTCTGCTGCTGCTCCTGGTGGCGTTGTTGATGCTCTTTTTTCTTTCAACCCCGGCAGAAGCTCGTCTGTTTGCCAACTCCAATAACGATGACTTGTACGCGCGCCTTGGTGTTGGTCGGGGAGCGACAAAGGACGAAATTAAAAAGGCCTTTCGTAAGATCACTCGCGAGCATCACCCGGACATGCAGGAGACGCAAGAGGCAAAGGAGGCAGCCAAAGAGTACATGGTGAAGGTGCTGCAGGCGTACAAGGTGTTGTCTGACGACATTCAGCGACAGGACTATGACGCTTTTGGAAAAATCCCCGGAGAGGCCTTCGACTCCGCGTCATTTACGGCGCAGGAAATATTTGAATACTTTCATCAGCAGTCGCCCATTCTCTCCAAGACCCACCAGCTGGAATCGCTATCGGTGTTGCAGCGGATACTAAACTTCCGTGGAAATCGGCTTTTTCTCCTGCAGGTGTACGATGACAGCTGCAAATCCTGCCGCTGGTTTGCCTCCACCTGGGAGGGATTGACGCAGTCGAGTCTTGTTGAAGGTCTCGTCGTGGAGATGTTCCGCATTGACGCCTACTCCATGGAAGGCCCACAGCTGCTAGAAGCACTTGGCATCTCATACAAAGGCGAGATTGGGATATACGCCATTATTGATGGGAAGAAATGGGCAATGCCCCATCTAAAAACTGTAGTGAGCTCGCGGAGTGGGCGTAACGCCTTCACATCGCTCTTGGACTTTGTCATGAGTTTCTTTTACGATAAATACATTGAAATAAATTCTCTGAAGGTGGGAAATAATAATACGCAGGATATCCTGGAGTGGCTGCAAGAGGAACGTGGTAGCGCGGATGCCGTTCGCGTTCTTTTGCCGCCGCTGACCGTGGAGTCCATTGCTCTCACCCTGTCGTATAAATATGAGGGTGTGGCCGTGGTTCGCTCCGTGTCGCGGGAAGCACTTATTGATTTTGTGGAGAACCACTGCGAGCAGACGGTAGAGATGCGTGGTCGTGACGGTGAGGTGATACCGACGCCGGAATTCATTGTGGTATCCTTGCAGCAACTTACCCGCGTTGCTGAAATGACATCCAAATCAATTGGAGAGTCAAAAGTCGTAATGAACTGCAGCAGAATCAACGTTGGCGTCAGTGCCACTCTCTCCTATCGCAAAGCTGAGTCTTTTTTGAGCGATGCATTGCCCCAACGGCACCCAGGAATGGCAAACATGAAATACGTGACTGGAATGTCTCTCTACGAACTGTGTCGACGGCATTGTTTGTTGTGGTTGCGTGAGAGCTGCGTGAAGCCGCCAAGTGACAATTGGAAGAACGCCCTACAGGGAAATTACAAGCCGTTTTCGGTGGGTTATTTGTGCCTGGATAGTGAGGCTGGACTGCGGGAGGCCCTAGCAACATCGACACCCGACACGCTTGTAGCCATTGTGGATGGCGATGAGTACAATCTTCATTTTCTTCTCCCTGAACCTGAGCCGAGCCAAATTGCGAGGGCGCTCTCGAACCTGTTGTCAGAAGAACAAGAGACTACCCCACTTCGCCTCACAACACCCTTGTCGCTTCTGATGACATCCAAGCCGTTTCATTTGTCGTATATGCAGTACTTTTACATCAATTCCCGATGGATCTACAGCCTTATTTACCCATTTTTTTCTAACTCTTATCCGTTTTTGATGATGTTCATTATGCACAAACTCCTCAACCGGTTCAATCTTTTGGGCAACAACAACAACAACAACAACAGCAGCAGCAGCAGCAACAGCAATAGTACCACCCGCAACGGAGGAGCCACGGCTTCCACCACAAGCACTGCAACCGCCAATAACGGTGGAAACAGACACGGTAGTGCAACCAATAGCAGGACAAATAAGAAGGAAGTTTCTCTCTTAACCGCGGCAGACTTGGAGGCGGCAAAGGATGCGAAGGGATTTCTTCTTCTCTTTTTCCAAAATGGCAAAGAGGAGATGCCGGCCCTTCCTCCCATTACGGAAGACTCACGATTCACAGTACGTCTTGTCTCGCCAACAGACCCACGTTGGGACTCGTGGCTTTCCGAGCAAAAACCGCAGGGAGAAGAAACCTCCAAGGGCGAAGGCTCATCAACAGAAGCCAAGGAACCAACGGTTGTCGCCATAAGACAAGGAAAGATGAAGGCAACAGTAAAGCCCCCCAACGCGGCGATGGATTCATGGTTGTGCGATCTTCTTGATGGAACCATCACGGCAACGGCACCCCTTCCATAAAAGCCTTTTGTGCATCTGCGTGTGCCGTTCTTTTCTAGTCACATATAACGATAATTCTCCGTTAGAGCCAGAAACATTTTTATCGGTGCTGTTTCGTTAGGGTAAATAATTGATGCGTGAGCGGGTCGAGTTGAAAAGAAAGGGGCATTTGTAGAATTCCCTTTATTTCCATGATTTTTCTCATTTAATTATTTATTTATTGAGAAAGAAAGAGGGTGGGGAAAGGTCTTATTGTTGTTCACTTCTCCGCATTATTATTATTATTATTATTATTATTATTATTATTATTATTATTATTATGTACTGCTTTTGCTGTTTACATTCTCCGCTTTTAGTGAAATACACATGCCCCAGTGGCACCCATCTATGCGCGCCCCAGGGACCGGTGCAGACGCCATCTACACGAGCGCAGAGGCTGCAAAACGCTCACTATTGAAGCTGCAACCGATACCTTCCTTTGAGCTTTACAAGGGTGCGCGTGAGGAGGAGCTTCTCTGTTACCGCAGCGTATGCCGCGTGATTTGCATGCGAAGTGGCGGACGGTTGACGAAGCAGCAGACACGTATCTTAGAAGACTTGAGGGAGGAACTCTGTATCCCTACCCAGCGGGCAGACGCAGAGATGCTGGAGGCACTGGAGGATGTGCTGGTCTCAAGCGTCGCCGCCTCTGGTGTACTAAAGCGGCGTGAGGACTTCTTTGACGGTGTGGCAGATGTGCCACTCGAGGCCATTCACGAGGGGGAGAGGGCTCATGATGACCACAACTCGCTGTACGCCCCGCCAGCAAAGGTACCACGAAAGGAAAATGCAACTGCCGGTGCTGCAGCAACAGCGACAACAACGGCATCAAGCTCGTGGCGCCGAGGAGTAACATCGAAAAACTCTCAAGCTTTGCTTCTCAAAACCATAGATAAAATTGGCCATGAAGTCACCACAATAAGCGGTAAGTTTCTTTCTGCTGTTTCCGTGGCTGATCAAGAAGCGTTTCGGCGAGAGTTGCTCATGAGGCGAGAGCGGCTATTGCTGCTGTTGAAGGAAGCAGAGGGCAACGCGATTGACGCGTCCGGAAGTTCCAGTGCAATTCCCTCGGAGCATGGCTTCTGATTTGTACTGCTTCATTGTGCTGCCTCACTGGATTACGATGGTATTGCCAGTTTTTAGGCCGTCACATTTCGACATGGTCGCGGGCAGGAACAAATAAAACTTGTGCTTTTTGGGGGCACTGTTTTCATGGGACGCGAATTGCGATTTTTATCCCCACTTCTTTATTTCTTGAGACCTATATCTACCTATTTATCTATATATATATATCTTTATATCTGTTTGTTTCTTTGTACTTGTGTTTTTCTTTTTCTTGTTGTTGGTCTTTTGAAGGGGGAGCTCTTCAAACGCCAAATGCTCGGGGTTTTTTCTTCTCACACTCTCTGATGGATGTGTTGTGCGCGTTTCTGTTTTTGCTTTTTTTTTGTTTTTGTTTTTGTTTTTGTTGTTTGCAGTATTCCGTGACACCTTTGTTTGTGTGTGAAAGACAGCTTTGGTGAGGAGTTGTGTGCTCGGGTGATGCTGTATTTTTTCCTTCGACACGGAAAAAATTGTTAGGAATGCGGTGCAGTCTCCGTGTCTGCTCGCACACCTCAGTGAGGTGCCGGAGGAAGCAATACAACGGCACGCGTGCTGCCCTCCAGTTTGTCACGCCGCTGCTGATCGATGCTCTCCATGCGACTTCCTCCTCGCCACTGGACGTGCGACGCAAGGAGTTGGCGTCGGCGCTGGTGGGTGTTCCACCGTCTCTGTCGCATGAGGGCCCACTCGCTTGTAGTCATTTACAGGCCCTTGCAGGCCTTTGTGAGGGGGATTTGCTCCGCTTGCTGTCTGAAACCTTTTGCGATGTTTTGGAGGCGCCACCGACTTCACATGTGGCAGAGATGTGGTCTTCTTCCTTGCAGGAGACGTACGTGCGCGAGTTGGCGCGTGCGCGCGCTGCGGAGAGCAATCGATCATTTCCCCGGCGATTCGAGGCTGGAATGACGGCCCACCACGTGTTTAGTGGCGCCGTTAAAGACGCCTGCGCAGTTGGCCGCGAAGAGCAAATCAGGAGAGAAGAGGACGTGGAACAGGTCGGGGCCGGGCGGTGGTCTCAACTTATTGACGACTACACGCTGATGCTGCCGGACCGCTCCCCGCTTCACGAGTTGGAGAATTTGCCGCAGGAGATTGGCATCGGTGAACTGCTGGCGTCGCTTTTTTCTTGGATGGGTGACGAAAAGGAGGAAATTCAGACGATCATGGATGTTGGCGGTGGCAATGGGTTTCTCGCAGCCCAATTAGCGGAAATATTTCGCTGCGAGTCAATCGTTGTGGATCCCTTCACCCCAAAACATGCCATTGACAATGGCGACTTTCCGCACTGGGTGGAACCGTCGAGGCGCCGGCCACGTGTTCCGCGTCAACATCCACTGTGCCGCATTCGTCAGCGTCTCACTGATGTCAACTGGAAATCTACCCCGCTAAATTTTAATCGTTGTACTATGATTGCGAAGCATCTGTGCGGGACTGCTATCGACACATGCATAAACCACCTGCAGTTTGTTGATAGGCTGCCTCGCATCATGGTGCTTGTTCCCTGTTGCTTCAACAAGGGCAATTTCGTGGAGTACTGCAACCCCGTATACCTCCACAGCGCAGCCGGTGTGAAGACGGAGATGGCCTGGAACCGTTGGACGCGGCTCACAGATTGGAATCAATCGAGCTACCAGCAATTTACCGCCTCTACGCGTCCAGTGAAACGCTGCAGCGACCCGGTGAAAATGGGGCATCAAAAGATGAAAAAGTTGCAACATTTTTTGCCATGCATGGATGACATTGCCTTCGTGGCAGAGGCGGTCATCAACCACGGACGTGTACTTTGGCTTCGACAGTTGGGGTATCATGCCCTCACCGTCTCGTACGTTCCTCGTTGCGTCACGCCAAAAAATCGCGCCATTGTCGCCATTCGTGACGTCAAACCCGTAGCGCAACATTTGCAGAGGGGAGTGTAACCGCAGACTTCCACAAATTCTTAGGTGTGGTTGTTGTTAAATAAATAAACATATTTGTAATATAATATTGCACGTATAATCATACTTATGCTTGTCTTCTTTTTGCTGCCGCGCCATGTACTCAAATGTATCAAAATGCAAAGGCAATTTCAACACCGATTTAATTTTTTTCTCCACCCGCAGAGTATTTAGTTATCAATGGAATAACTGTTCATAATAATAATAATAATCATAATAATAATAACAAAAAAAAAAAAACCATATATATAGTGCCCATGCGCCGTCGTGACATGCACGGACGCTTCTTATGGCGCAAAAAGGCAGTGGAATATTTGTTTGCCATCTTTTGTTTCCTCACGTTCCAGATATTGTTTGGACTTCTGGTTATGCGTAATAGTGCACCATGCATGGGAAACTTGGCGGTACGGGATAACACTACTGCCGCAAACACCGTCAGCGGCCCTTCGAGCCATGAGTACCGTATCTTTGTCTTTGCATACGCACGACCAGATGGACTTAGGAAGACGCTGAATTCCTTGTTGGAATCAGACTACTCCAAGGCACCTGTTGGCTCTCTCACCTTGGAGGTGTTTGTGGATTTCAGAAAATATGAAAGCCTCCAGATGCAGCAGAAGCAATCCGGCATTCTGCAGTTTCTCAGGACTTTCAATTGGCCTTACGGTCAGTACAAAATACACCGGCGGCTGACAAACGTTGGCCTCCGACTTTCAATCATGGAGGCGTGGCAGCCAACGAGTGATCGCGAGGTGGCCGCGTTCTTTGAGGACGATGTGGTGGTGTCACCGTACTGGTTCTCCTGGGTATACGATGCACTTGCCCACTACGCACCAGTCGGCGCCCAGGGTGCCATAGAAACTGAGTCCCGCTTCATTGGCTTTGGTCTGTTTCGGCCCATATTTGACGAGCTGTCGAGAAGGCGCGTCCATGTGAAGAATGACTACGCCCCGTTTCTCCTCCAACAGCCCTGCAGCTGGGGGGCAGTGTATCTCCCCGGGCCCTGGCGAAGGTTCCGGGAGCTCTTTGAGAAGGACAAGAACAGGGACCCAATCTTAAAGCGACCGGAAGGGGCACTGACTCCTGTAAGCAACTCGTGGAAATACAATTCCTCGTGGAAGAAGTACCTCATCTACTACATGCGCTGGAATGGCTGGTACATGATGTATCCGAACCTTCCCGAGAAGCTTGTGCTTTCTACCAGTCTTCTACTCCCAGGGGAGCACCCAACACCGCCAAAGAAGCTCTTTTTACTCGACGTGCTTCGGAAGGAGCACCTGGAGAAGGATTGTGTAAAAGAATCACTTAGCAAATTTACGAACATGAAGGACATGCAGGTATATGACTTAATGTTTGATAAAGCACGGACCGTGGACGACCTCATGCCGAAAGCGGATGAAGCCTAGCGATGGTGGCGCATGACATGTTGTTTTACTGCTTACCGTTTTGAAGCATCTTTGTTGTTTTCTTCACACTTATTTGTCAGAGACTTTTTTTTATTTTTATTTTTATTTATTATTTTTTATTATTATGTATATTGTCTACATTTTAAATTCCTTATGCGCTTTTTGAGGATTCTTTTGTACTTTTTACTTTTGCTTCTAAATGTTGCGTATGTTGATTTGAGGAATAAATACGTAGCTTTGAATTTGGCAGCCTGTTGGTGTGGGTGTTTAAAGGGGGAACTGTGTGAGTGCTGCTGAGGCATGGCGTTAGTCGAGCCATTAGTGGGCTACTTGCTTTCCAAGTATGCGGCCACTGTCACGGAGGGTCTCGAGAAGATTCGCCATCACGCGAAGACCGACGGGACATTTGCATCCGCCTTTCTGCTTCATCCGCAGGGGCTCTTGGCGCTTCAGGAATTGATGCAGAAACGGGAGTTATGTGCTCTGGCGCTACAGACTGTGACACAGCTAGTGGAATCGTCTGATAACGCGGGTGTGCGTTCAGGTGCCTTGCGAGAGATGTGTCGTGGCAAGTCGCTCTGGGTGCTGCGAAAAGGACTTGCGTCTCTCTCCGATGCGATGCTGCCTGTGACGATGGCCGCACTGCAGTTTCTTGTGGTTGTTGCAGGCAGCCTCCCCAAGTTGGTTCTCTCCCGGTTTGGGAACACGGTGCCGCTTCACCTCTCGTGCTTCTCTCTTCAGCTGCCGTATTCGCAGCGACGCGTTAGAGTGGCACGGGCGCAGTTTCTTATAAGCCTTGTTGCCTCCCCGCACGCGAACACCGTGGAGATTGTGGTCTGCGCGCACGGGTACCTCACCCACCTTCTGGAGGATGCCGCGGAGCTGCTGCAGGAGGGCACTGAAAAGGGCCTCGACATCGCTCGTGCGGCCCTTCGTGTATTTGGTGAGCATTTTGTGGAGGGAAATATTTCGGCGACGCGAAAGCGATCGGTTCTTCTGGCGCAGAAGAACATCATCCGTCTGCTTGTGAAGGCTCTTGATCATGCGCTGGTGTCGGAATACGCGTACGGCATTTTATGCCGAATTGTGGTGGAGCTGCTGGAATCCCCGTGCGACTATCAAGTGATGCGGCTTGAGGCGGAGGACAGGGGGATGCCGAACTACCTGCTTTTTTTCATCCTGCGGCAGTTGCGGCCAAAGAGCTCTCCGGCATCGGCACGCCTGGCAATATTTATACTGCACCAGGCACCGGACTTGATCCGACCCTTTTTTACACGTGTCTCCAGTCATCTTGGAGAAGAGGGCGGCACGAGCCGTATTTCCTCCACCACCGCCACGGTGGCTACGTTGAACCTCATGACTCGCGCCATGCTCACGCCGATTCCGTACCATTTGGCTGCTGGCAAAGCAAGGCTAGTGCCAGTGGAGGCGAGTGCGACGAAGTTCTTCTCAATGAGTTCAGAACACGTGGCTGATGAAATATGTCCCTCATGGGTGGCGGAGTACGTGCATCGTCTCATCAATGGGTCCAGTGACTTGTTATTGCTTTTGTTTTCCATTCAGTTAACATGCGCCATCCTTACACGGGCCAAAGCCATTCAACGCCTCGTGGCGAAGCTGCAGGATGTTCAATCGAACGATGAAAAGAATAAAGGTAACCTTCAAGAGTGGGAAACATTTGATGCCAAATTGCAATCTGCCTTGCTGAAGGCTATTCCTCGTCAGGAAGAGTTTTGGCATCGAATGACGCAACAGCTTCATCCCATGATGATTTCCTCGTCCAACGCAAATGGAAACACCACGCGAGGACCTGAGGAGAAGACTTTCTTTTTGTCCCAACGCATGTTCCTTCTTATGGAATTATACGGGGAGGTGTTTCAGCTGCGCATATCATGGCTGAGTGCGGTTCCGTCATTTATTCCAACGTTTTGTGCGTGTGCCAATCCTATTGAGGATGCCTTGCGTCGTGGTGAAGGTGCGGTCACAACTTGGCCAGCAGTAAGCGTCTCCGCTCTCTGTTCGCTCCTCGTATCCGCACTTTCGCAAGGCGTCTCGATGACAAAGCTGCACCACGTCACAATGAGTGGTGCAAAAAAGGGGGTGTTGGAGTGGCCTCTCTTGTTGAGTGTGATGCTGTGGGCTGTAAAGCACCGCAGTCCATGTGACGAGGAGGGTCAATTGGCATGGGCGTGGGTAGCGCGATTGATGCAGTGGACTGTGCACGGTGTGACTGTGAGTTTTGTGTGCGAATTGGAGGAGGCGTTCTTGTGGCTTGCGGCGATGGACGAGTCAACGATTCCGTGTTTTGTGCATCTCATTAATTATTTACTGCAGCGAAGCCTGTCAAAGGCCGCGGATCGCATTGCGCACGAGCTGATGCTGGGAGATGCTGGCATCATCGTTTGCGCCGCCCGGACCTTTGTGGCCAAAGCCGATGAGAAATCCGCGTCGAATGGCGGCAGTGCTGTGGGAATGAAGGATAACACCAATAACAAAAGCAACAGCGAAAGCACTGTGGTGGTGCGGAGGGGAAATGACGGAAGGCAGCAGCAGCAGCAGCAGAAGGGGAATAAGAGGTCATGGCATGAATGTAACAACAAGAGGGATGATAGGGAGCAGACGGGCGCTGCCACAGGCGGTGGGAATGATTTCTGGACAGTCGACCTGCAGGAGCACGTAGCGGCGTTTAAAAAAGTCACGGAGCGGGTCGCGTGTGAGTGGTCGGATCGCGGCGAACGCATGAGGGAAACACTACCAATTGTCTTCAAGAACGCACGCAACGATGAGTCCGGCAAGCGGCGCATCGCACTGACGATGCTGCAGGCCGAAAAGGATCATTGCTCCCTGCGACCTATTCACGATCAACTTCTCGAGTTCTGCCGAACACTGCGGCCGCCGATGCCAGCGACAGATGTCGAAGAGGAGGAAATGACGCTGCTTACCATCGCCCGCACTGGTGACGTTCATGCACTTCGACGGCACTTTGGCGAGGACAAAATGTCCCCTCCTCCGTCCGTTTGGTGCTCATCCACCTCGCTGGGGTGGGAATTGGCGGGGCTTTTCTTACGATGCCTCCATGAACTCAGCGGAGAAAATATCAGCGAACCGGAAGGTGCGAGCGAGGCTTATTGCAGTGTTCTTGACTGTAGCCAGTACCTCTTGAAAAACATTGCGAATGATGCAACAGATGTCACGCGTGTTTTACTCGATCGTTCCTTTCATGAAGGTAAAATTGCGGGATTTTTTCTCCTTCTTCTGGCAGCCACGCGGTTGCTGCTGCATGGGCATGCTAAGCGTGCAGTTATTGGGTCCGCATTGCAAGTTCACCTGGAGAATGAAACATTTGAGGCCATTTCACGTCTTCTCTTGCGCACATACTCGGGAACGGTTTCGACGATAGATCGCATACGGTACACCACGCTGCTTACTCTTTGTTACCTGCAACAGGCACAGCGGGGTGCTGTGACACATCCTTATGGTGACAATACGGGGGAAATGCGGCTTGCTATGGAAGGCGAAGATGATGCGGAGAAGGAGGATCACGACGAATCGTTGGTTGAATTGCAAACGGCGACAAGTTTACGTGTTTTTAGTGGCATTCTGGTGCCGCAGCAAATGCTGGACCAACGGTTTCTCATCATGGATCACCAAAGCACCCCTCATGTTGCACCCGAGGTCGATATGTTGTCTCTTCTTGTGGACATGTGGACAGACGAGGAAGTGGTTACGGCGGCGTTGCAGTGCCCCGCACGTCTACACAACACAATCTTGGTGAATGCAAAGGTGGACGCGGGTTGGGAAGTTCTTCGAAGCCTCTTTCCAGAATTCTCGGTGCAGGATGACATCATGTTGGCGTCGTTTGATGCACTCACCGCGACAACTGTCATGGATCCACGTTATTTACTGCCGCTTCTCCACACCGTGCTCTCATTGCCAGTAGAACAACTCCCGCGAAAAAACATTGGAACTAAATGCATTCCATTTCTTTTGCGGTCATTGTCCTTTACGGACCCACAGCTCAGACGCTTGGGCGCGGCGGCATTGTCTGCCGTATGGACACCAAGCGGCCCCACACGCATTGTTGTTGGTTTTGCTCGATTAAAACTGACACAGCTGGCCAGCAAGAAGGGGCGGGCCAAATATCCGCAAGGAAAAGAAGGGGAAGTCACATGGAACTGTCCACGACTCCCTGCCCCCATCTCTGCCTTTTTAGTGATGGTGCTCCATCCCCTCTCCAATGCGGATTATCCATTGCACAACGATATTATGCGATTTTTGCTTGAGACACAAGAGGCCTTTTCAAATCCAGTTCCACTTCATCACTTCTTGACGTCGTTCCCCCTCGCGTGCATCACAACGCCTCTGATGATTAAACGTCAGGAAAAAACTCAGAACAGGACAAGCGGGCATGTTGCCGTTGCTTTTGCGGAGGTAGCACGGGAACTGCAATCGGAAGCGCCCACTCATTTAAACTTCATTCTTCGTTTGATCCAGTTTGGGTGTCAGACAAATGGGGATATGATGGCACTCCTTGGATCGGAGTCTCTGCAGGCGATGATGGTGATTGTCTCTATGGTGGCTGCTTCCGCAGAAATCCGCCTGGAGTTCCTGCAATGTATTCATTTTGCCTGCACCACCTCCTCCGCTGTGGCAAAGCAGGCAATGGAAAAAGGTCATGTGTTGTCCTGGCTTTTTGGCTTTGCGTTTCAGCTGATACGCGAGTACGGTGAGTGTGTGTACATGTACGGTGAGCCGCTCTTTATGGAGGTGATTACGTTGCTGCGGAAACTCTCGCCACTCTCTCTTGTCTCGCCACTTCACGCCCAGCAGGTGCAGCAGCAGCTTGAGCTCATTCGTGACGGATTGCTTGCGAACCACGTGACGACAAAAGACGTGCTGGATGGGGTGGAAGACATCCTGAAGGGAATGAGCAGCAGAGGAGGGGCGTCTGCAGGGACGGCACCGATGAGAAAAAGGCGGACTTTGCATAACAATGCGCGTCCAACGCCAAGAACAAAGCAAAGGTGAATGTGAATACCGTGTGCGTCCTCATCTTACACACACACACACACACACAAAAACACATGCACATGCTCAGGAAGAATGAAAAGATGAAAAAAAGAAGGGCGAGTTACTTCTGTTCCCAACGCAAAACACGCACAGATGCAATATATATATATATATACATATACATGCATACATACGGTTAAAAAGGAGTGGGAAACCCATGAATGAAAAGAAACGACAGGAGGAAACAAATAATGAAAAGAATGGGCAAAATGGAATGAGGAAGGAAGGGTGAAATCGTAACGACATTAAAGGGACGGATAACCAACACCGCACCGTTCATCTCAATTCTCCCTCCTCAACTTTTATCAACATCCTTGTTGTCATTCCTGTTGAGCCCTCATGGTGCTTTATTTACTTCATTTCCATCGTCATTACTGAGGGGGGAGTGGGAAATTTTATTTCTCTTTATGGCCTTTTTTTTTTTTTTTTTTCTCTTACATGTTGCTTCAACCTTCTCTTTATGTACGTTAAATGCAGTTGTATATATATATATATATATATATATATTAAGGTGGTCAGCTGTCGAAACGGCACCGATCACACATTCAATGAATTGCTACTGCGAAATTCCTGTAAAGTGCACGGCGGGCAAGGACGGCAATCTTAGTTACGTATGCGCCATCAGTAAATGTCGTTTTTTTGCATTGTGTCCCTTGCATGCCGACGGATGGCGTAGGGTGGTGGCTCCCCCTGCCGTTGCAGGTGAATTTATCGTGGTCCGCTTTGAGGCAGTGCTACATCCGGAAAAGAAGACGCCGCATGTGGCTGCCACAGTCTCACCACCTGAAGTGGAAGCGGTGGTCGCCGTTCTTGAGGACGCGCAGTTTCAGCCCATGTGGTACGTGGCGAAGAAGGCGTATTTGTATCCGATGGAGTCCTACAGCCACCTGCTTGTGGCACTGAGGAAACTTTTAGTCCGAGTGCATATCGAGGAGATCCCGTCCTTCTTCTTTCGTTGCCTGGAAGCCGTACAAGAGATTCAACTACAGCATGAACGGAATATTGATGGAAACGCCTCACAACCTGCTGATGCG